GAGTATTCAGCCGAGCCGACTGCCTTGACAAGTCTAGAGCCCCACTGGGGAGATCAGCACATCCTTGAAGAGAGAACCCATGCATATCTGGTTGTGTACTTTACTTCCTAGTTTCTCCTGTAGTGTAAGTTACTGTTGACTGAGCAAAAATGAACCAGGAGACTTTGGCAGGAAATAAATGACAAAGATTTATTCTAGGGTCTCAGGGTTTGCAAATCTAAAACACTACCAGGTAACACCAGAGCGTTTCAAAAGAAAAAGAAAAAGGTTTTATAGTAGAAAGCACACATTTGAGAAAAATCAGCCCTGAATTCTTCGCCCACTGATTGTAACCTGCCTGATGTCCTGTGGACTGGATAATAAAGCATTCTTCCTTAAGCATGACAAGTGGTTATCTGTAAGAGATATATACACCTCCAGCACATGAAAATTCTTTCTTCACTCCTTCAGAGGTTTGGGAATGGAAAGTAGGTACATCCAGGCACTGACGCACAACAAAAAACTCAAAAGTTTAAGTTCCCCAGTTAGCTAACGCAAGAATAGAATCATTTCTTCATGCCTGAGCCTACTTGATTTTAATAGTTTAATCATTTTAATGGCTTGACCATAGTTACTCCATTTTACTTCTTCGCTCCGTTCTGTGTAGCTTGCTTGGACATTAAATGAGCAGTTATGCCCGAGGAGCTCCAGCACTAAGACCTTCCCAGAACAGGGAGCAGACACAACTCCCTCCTACCTGGACAGAGGGCAGATGAAGTCACAGTCACCAGGTAGCACAGGGTCCAAGCAGGAGAAGACTGGGCTGGGGTGGGAGGCGGGCTCATGCGCTTCTCCAGCAGAGCTGGTTGGTCCTACAATTCCCTTTGGAGTCTCCTCTGGGCATCCTTAAAAGTGAGACCTGGCAGTGGACTCAGCCAGCCGGACAAAAGAGCCTGATGCTTTAGAGGACTCAGTAGTTCCAAACATGAGGATACTTGAAGGCCCAGAAAATTCCCACATGGGAACAGTGCCTACTGCTTCTGTTGTCAGCCCTTTGAAATTTCACAACCCTTTATGTTCACGTTTTTGTTAGGTCTGACCAAATAATCAAATACACACCCCTGGGAAACCGGCCTTAGATCCTTTCACAACCAACATTTCCTTTCGCTTAGACCACATTCCATTTGCTAAGAACAGTAACTTTCCCTTCCAGATTTGCCCAGAGGGTGCCCGCCGAGAAAACCTGCCTGGAGTCCTTTAAAATCTGTCCCTGGGCACCGGTGCCATTTTGGGGCTCAGCCCATCTGGCTTCCAGATGACCTAATAAATTTATAATTCTTTGCCATTTTTGGCAACCCTAACATTTGGTGCCAAAACCCAGAGGGTTCTACGGAGAAGGGGAACCATCACCCCAGCTTTGGTCACCCCAAGTTTGCTGCTTGGAGAGCAGTAGGCAACAGCAACTCATCCTGGGCTTACCTCCAAATCCTACACAGGTGACTCAATTGCCAGCCTCCATTAGGCTCCCATACAGGCCCTTCCGAACCAGCCAAGGAGGATGCCATATCAGGAACCTCTCCTCCTCCATTGCTGACCCTCCGTCCCACACCAGCCACTATTCTCTAGATGAGTGATGTTCCACAATTTCCCTCGTCTCGAGTCTTCTGCCCACTCACTCTCACTGACTTCTCAAAAGTCCTCTCTTCTCGAAAGTCCTAGCACTAGGCCAGGAGACACCTCGGCCATTCGGCCTCGGGCCCTTCTGGACTGGAGGTGCCTAGTCCAGGGGGTTACCCCTTATTTCTTGTGGTGATTTGTTTAGCAATGGGGTGGCCTGCCCTAAACAGTCACCTTTGGACTATTGGTCTGTCATTCACCCTTCCTCTCTCGTGGGCCATGCTTATTCTCCTTATCATGGGGAACACTCCCTCTGTACCTCCTAAAGCAACCCTCTCTTAGCCATCTCCTTAAAAATCTTGACCACCTTAGATTTATGGGGAGATCACACCCAAGCACCTCACTTTATTCTGTAGCACTGCTTGGCCACAATATAAACTAGATAATGAGTCTCAATGGCCTGAAAACGGCACTTTCGATTTTAACATATTGCATGATTTAGATAATTACATCACTACAATGGAAAATGGTCAGATATCCCCTACGTTCAGGCCTTTTTCACCCTCTAGTCTCGACCCTCTCTCCGTCAGCCTGCTCTACCCATCAGGTCCTTCTCCTTTATGCAAAACATCACCCCCTAACACTTCTGATTCTGAATCTACTTTTGACCCAGCAGACCACCAACCTCCACCCCCTTATGTGCCCCCTCCCTCACCTGCAAAAGATTCCCCAGGCCCTCCTAACCAGCAACCACCTTCTCCCTGGCCCCGGAGAGCCCAACTCTCAAGAACAGGAGCTCCAAAACAGCCCTTTCCCACCTAACACTCACTCTCAGGCCACCCAGACACTGCCTTCCTCAAGAGGAAGTTCCGCCCCTGAGGGAGGGAGCAGGCACTGAGGGCAGAGTCTGAGTCCACACCCCATTCTCTGTGTCCGACCCTTTCCAGACTGATAAAAGACTAGGGTCTTTTCCACCGACCTGACCACCCTTACCGAGGAATTCGAGTACTGAGTACTTGACCAGTCCTATGACCTGACCGGCATGGCATCTATGTCACCCTGTCCTCCTCTCTCAGCCCAGAGGAGAAGGAGCGTGTCTGGCTAGCAGCTCAGGGCTATGCTGTGCCCTCCATAGACGGGAGGCCGTGGCCAATCTGGCTGGCACTGACGCAGCCCCCGAACTGGCCCGAAATGGGACTACCATGTTACTCTCCAGGGCGCCGGCTCCGTAGCCATGTGATCATCTGTCTCATTGCCAGGCTCAGGAAGGCTGCCCACAAGGCAGACAACTATGACAAACTTAATGAAATGATGAAAACCCAGCTCTTTTCCGCTCCTGCCTTACGGAGGCATTGCAGGAACGTTCCACCTTAGACCCATCCTCCCCTTCTTCTAAACACCCTTTATATCCCAGTCAGCCCCCAACATACACCATAAACTTCAAAAAATAGGCACATGTCCACAAACCCCCCTCGTTAACGTGGCCTTTAAGGTCTTTAATAATAGAGAGCAGGGGACCCAAATCCAAAAACAAAAGTGAGACCAGGCCAGGGCTGAGGCCCAGAGGAGCCTTCCAGCTCCGCGCCACGGCCTCATGAACCCGAACGAAGCGCCGTCCTCCAGCCAAGAGTGAGTCAGGGCTAAGCCTCCTCCGGGCCCTGCTTCAGATGCAACAAGGAAGACACTGAGCCAAGTCCTGCCCAAACCCGAGACCCCCGCCTGGGCCCTGCCCAAGGTGCGGAGGGAAGGCCACTGGAACTCAGGCTGCAGTCTGGCCCCTCCGGGTTGGACCTCAGCACAGCCGCCCTCTGGATCGGGTTTGGAGCTCCCAGACGTCCTGGGACTGGCCACTGAAGACTGAAGCGCCCAGGCCCTGATAGGGCCCCACAGACTTACATCACCAGGGCAGAGCCTCGGGGAACGCTTGTGGTGGCAGGTAAGCCGATGTCCTTTTTAATCGACACTGGGGCCACTTATTCTGCCCTCCCCGAATTCCCTGGGACCCTGTCCCCTCCTCAGTCTCTATTATGGGGTTGGCAGATTAGTCTCACAGCCATTAGCCACCTCACCTCTACACTGCGCCCCTCTATCCACTCTTTTCTCACTCTGCCCGGCCGGGGCCCCCATACCCCCCTCATAAAGCCCAGTCTCCTGAACCACAGGCACCTGCCTCGGTTTCACTCACACCCCACAGAGCCGAGCCATGACTTTAGAACGTAACCACCTTATCTCCTCCATGACTGTCCCTCCTCTAAACAAGAACGGTCTCCTTTCTCGGGCTCGCTGAATACTCTTGCCTCCGGTTCCCAACTTGCGTCTCCTCGCAAAGCTCCTCTGTGACTCTGCCAGGCAGCCCTCACGGAGCCTTCAGACCCCAGGGCCGCGTTCTCACCCCTTAATGCTCGAGAGCTGCTCTCACCGCAGCGCCACCCCCGTCCCAGAGAACAGCCCACTTCGGGCAACACTGCAAACGCGCACTCACAGCCCTGCTGCTGTCAGGACGGGCGCATGGCCACCAAACCTCAGCAGGCCACCGCTCAGGGGCACGTGGCGGTTCTCAGCCCAAGCGCCTGGAGCCTGGGACCTGCAGTCCCAGAACAGGCTGGGGGCCGCCCCGCCCCGCCCCGCCCCCTCTTCTCCAGCCCATAGGCCTGCACATCATCTTCCAAAGTCTTTGGTAACTTCAGAGCTTTGGAGCGTTGCTGGGCTAAGTGATAAACACCTAAATATTTCACCAAGTTCTAAGTCCACCTGACTTCAGCTTTTGTCACAGAAAATCTATAAAGTAAATTTAGAACTGCTGATGTAATGTCTTGTGCTGTGTTGAAGGTGTGTTTCTGAAAGTGAGAGTGTTCATAAATGTCAATCTAAGAAATGCTGGGTGTTTGCTTTTGGTTATCACTGGCTGGGAGTTACTGAAACTGAGTTATTCTAATGGTTATTTCTGTGTGGGTAGAAAGGGTTGTGAAAGTTGTAGAAAAGTTTGTCCAGTTAGACAGGAGCTGATGGCCCCAACGTCCGAGGGGCCCCTTCTCTCCTGGTAAGTGAGCTAAGGCAGTAAGGCAGCCCTGCCGGAGGCTTCGTCCTCAGGTCAGAGCCCAGACTCTGTTTCCACCGCTCATTCCCAGCCCTGCACTCCATCACTGAGAGTCTCAACAGGTCTTCCTGTTTGGTATTTAGGAACTTTTCTCCCCTTCCCAACCTTCTTAAAGCCATCAAATTTTATAATTTAAATTGTGTGTATAGTCTTCATGTATTTGTCTGTATGTTATACATGTTTTCGGCCTCCAAATGGCACCACTAGGGTATAATGCTTTAAAATAATATTCTCAAAAATTTCAGCCTGCTCTAGGAAGGGGCTTGCAAAGATTCAGAGCCAAGTTCAAGCAGGAAATTCCCAGGAGTATCTTGTCAATAGGCAACTTGTCAGTGACACTGGACAGCCTAGAGTAATGGTTCCCTAGGGGAGGCATCTGGCGGCAGCACTCCAGGTTTGTGATCCGCACAGGGGGGGTTTGTGAACTCCTTCCAATGCTCAATGAACTATATGCAATGTTTTAAAATCTTGCATATTTTTGATATATTGAACCTAAAAATATAAACTTTATAATATTTTGCTTCAACTCTCCAAACCAGCGGTCACTGCAGACCACCAGTGGTCCGTGAGAACATTTTGGTGGTCCGTAGAAAAATCTGGACATTATTTGCATTTTTTATGTTTTAGTAATCCTAATAAACAATAATAAAACAAAATAAATATTCTAAGAAATTCTTATATTCTGACTGAGTGACAATTTTCACCTTTACAATTCCCCTTTCTCGTAACTAGAGAGGGGGAAACAAGAGAGGTGCAAGCAGCTTCAGTCTTGTTTCAGCCATTACAGGAGCCACCCGCCCTGCGGTTACCGGTTCTCATTTGACTGTTTTGTTTTATTTGTGTATTGTATGTAACTGTGTATTTTCTTTAACTGTTATATTTAATGGCATCAAATAATTTGACTTTAATAACTATCATTTCTTGTTTGGTTTTAAATTCAAATGAAATAAACCCACAATGAGTGAAAAAAAGCAAAGGGATATTTTGCATTTCTTTAGTAATACAGAAGATAATGTAAGTAATGATAATAGTAACAATAGTAATAAGTGTACTTCACTTAACCGTGAGCTGATCAATGAATCAGAGCCTCCGCAGTCCTCGTCAGGCACCATTAGGAAGAACATTCGAACTGGAGGCGGAGAGAAGAAAAAACCCAAAGTATCAAGAAAATATGATTTGAACTACTTGACATTTAGATTCATTCAAGAGCCTGGTCCTGCGCTGGATCCACGGCCGCTGTGTGTTGTGTGTTCTGAGAGTTTATCCAACGATGCCATGAAGCCTTTGAAATGCGGAAGACACTTGCAATCAAAACACCCGGATTTAGCCTAAAAACCACTTGAATATTTTCAAAGAATGTGTGAAAATATGCAAAAGCAAGTAATTGCTCTAACAAAAATGACTGTTGGAGCTAAATCTTTATTAAAGGCTTCTCATCTGATAGCACTTCAGATTGCGAAAAATAAACAGCCCTATGCGACTGGAGAAGAATTCATTCAGCCTTGCCTGGTACAAGCCTGGGAAGAGGTTGGGGAGGCAGGCTGTCCAGAAACCGCAAGCAATTCCTATGCCCGCTAACACTGTCCAACGCAGAATTGAAGACATGGCTGAAGATATTGAAAATCAAGTTACAAAAATGGGGAAAATTCACCATTTTATTCCATTCAACTTGATGAATCAACTGACGTAGGTAACAAGGGCCTTTTCCTTCGTTTTGTGCGGAGAGCTGCAGGAAGAACTGCTTTGTTGGCTCAGCTTGCCGGTGGAACAACTAGCTCTGGGATTTCTGAAGCACTTCATAGTTATCTCCTGGAACACGGGATTGAGTGGGAAATGTGTATTGGGATATGTACAGATGGTGCCGCAAACATGACTGACATCTTTCAGGAATTGTTGCAAAGGTGAAAAATGTTGGTCACCCAGACATTTTGTCTACACACTGCATTATACATCCTGGGCAACTTGCAGTGAAAAAAATGTCCCCAGAACTACACGAAGTATTATCAGATGTTACTAAAATTATAAATGCAATTCAACACAAAGCGCCCAATTCTCAAATATTTGAGGCGCTTTGCGAAGAAATGGGTTCCCAGTATACTCACCTTCCTCTGCACACTGAGGCGAGGTGGCTGTCGAGGGGCAAGACACTAACCCGACCGTCTGTCCTGCACGAAGACGTCAAAATATTTTTCCAGCGGCCAAATAATCCGAAATTACAAGAACTCTTCTCCGACGATGAGTGGGTAGCCAAGCTTGCATACCTGCAGATATTTTTTCACTATTAAATGAATTAAACATATCCTTGCAAGGACAACTTAAGGACGTGTTCACACTACGAGGTAAAATGGATACGTTTCAAAAGAAAATATTACAAACTTTGATGACTATCTGAGAGAGAAGGATGTCAACCAGCAGGTGATAACCATTGTTCAACAGCACCTACAATCACTCACAGAATCGTTGGTTGTTATTACCCAAAGAAAGACATGGCAATACGTGGATAATAGGCCCATTTGCAGCAAACATTGAAGACAGCAATCCTACATAATAAAAGGCTAATAGGCAAATCGACTGAACAGCGGAACAAGTGGTCGCTATGAGATGCACTGACCACCAGGGGGCAGGCGCTCAACACAGGAGCTGCCCCCTGGTTGTCAGTGTGCTCCCACAGGGGGAGCGTCATTCAACCAGAAGCCAGGCTCATGGCTGGTGAGCACAACGGCGGTGGCAGGAGCCTCTCCTGCCTCCATGGCATTGCTATGGTTGTTCAACTGGGAGCAAGCCTATGCCATCATCGGACAGCCCCCGAGGGCTCCTGGACTGTGCGAGGGCACAGGCCAGTCTGAGGGACCCCCCACAAGTGCACACATTTCATGCACTGGGCCTCTAGTTTAAGCATAAGGAAAAGAAAGCCTCATCGATCTATCATCTGACAACAGTCTCAAAGCTAAATTCCAGTCCCTTACCAAGACCTCATTTTTGGATCTCCATTAAAAGTGAGTACCCATTGCTAAGTGAAAAAGCAATGAACATTTTTATTCAATTTTCAACAACATATTTGTGTGAAAAAACATTTTCATCTGTTACAGCAATTAAAACTCAGTACCAGTCTCGGCTCTCCATCTTGCAGCAACATCATTGGAGCCAAAAAATCCATAAACTTATTTCAAGCAAACAGGAGCAGATATCACACTCTAAAAATGTATAATACTTAAATAAGCTTCAATTATTTTATAAAAATTAAACTTACTTTAATAAATTTGTTGCAATTAAACAACCTTTGAAGATTTTGTTATGATTAAATAAGTATTTATAATGTTGTTATATTAAATAGGTACATTTCATATTAATAAAATGGAAGTTCTCTGATCATTATTTTACAAAAGTATTTATCTTTAAAAAAAAAATCATGAGTGGTCCGCGGGATTTAAAATTATGAATTTAGTGGTCCATGAGGACCAAAAGGTTGGCGACCGCTGCTCCAAACGAATGTCTGCTCCCTTCCACCAGACCATTCCAGCTTTGCCCAGTAATACTAACATTTACAATAAAGTGTGCCTCCACCAGGTCACAAGCCCCCCTTGTACTCGGGAAACACCACCCCCTAGACACCGTCACAGCCTCCATTTGTGCCCAGGCCTCACCGTCCCTCTGACAGAGCAGGGATTTGGGCTCGGAAGGAAAGTGCCGCCTCCTTCCAGCAGGCAGCAGCTATGGAAGAGGTCCTGCACCCTTGTTCTCTGAAAGAATTCAGTGCCAAAATCCTTGAGGAGGGAAATGCTAGACAGACCGCCAGAATGTTAGACCCAGAGCAAGGACAATGGGCCAGATCCAGAAACTAAAGCTCCGGATGCCAAGCAAGGGCCAAAACTGGGAAAACAAGAACCTCGCCTCCAGGGTAACCGCTCCTCCTTTCCTATCACTAGTCAGGCAGCTTAGACCCCTGACCTTCCCTCCCTAAAGATAACATCCAGGCCTCAGTAGTGTTTCAGCTCCAGGCCCAGAGAAGCAGCACAACCGACAAGTGACTCCGTGGCTGCCTCAGGACCAGCCTTTACCTTCCAAGTCACTCAACAGTTTTCCTCCGCCGTGGGCAGCCCATACACACTCCACCCAGCATCCTGAGCAACACTGACTGTAATTAATGATTTGGCAAGTGGATGGGAAGCTGTACTCTATCTAGGGTAGGCTCTCTCAGCCAGCGTAGACGTAGCCCCCTGATAACCAGTCTTTCCCTGTCCCCGTAACCCACCATGCCCGACACAAAAGGGCAGTCCAGATAATCCCTCTCCTCATAACCCTCAGCATCACAGCAGGGGCTGGAACTGTCATAGGGGCCTAACCACTGCTCAACATACTTTGAAATCCTGTCTCAGAACCTACAAGAAAGCCTAGAAGACATTGCCAAAAGCTTAGTTCCCATTCAGGATCAGAGAGCCTCACTGGCCGCTGTCACCCCCAGAACAGAAGAGGACTCGGCCTCCTAACGGCGGAGAAAGGGGGCCTGCGCCTCTTTCTGGAGGAAGAATGTTGTTTCTGTGACCATCAGTCTGGCCTCGTCAGGGATGCCGCAAAGATCAGGGAACGGCAATCAAATTCATGGGCCTGCTGGCTAAAGGAAATAAACTGGCATCTACTTCCCTTCATCGGACCACTAACATTCCTCTTCCTCATCCTCGTTTTTGACCCGTGTATTCTGCGCCATTTTTCATCTTTCCTTCAGGACGGCTTTCAAGCTTCACCAGCCTGTCTCTCGGGGAGATGATGCTGCCGCGACCCCTCGCTCCACCAGGAGGAATCTATTCAACATCCCAGCTGACTGCACTCAAAGGCCAACCCCCTGATCTCAACGTCCAGACTCAGCAGGAAGTAATTACAGAAGATTTGACCTCCGTCCCTATTCCATAAAACAAAAAGGCTGGAATGTTAGGTCGGATCAAATAATTGAATCGATACCCCTCCCCTGGGAAACTGACCTTTAGATCAATTCACAATTGGCATTCCCTTTCCCTTAGACCACATTCCACAGACAGCAACTTTCTCCTCTGGACTTGCCCGGGATCCAGACCCGTCCAAAGAATTCCCCATGGAAAAAGCCCGCCTAGAGTACTTCACAATCTCTGACTCCCCATCCCTGCATGCTGGTGCCATTTGTGGGCTCAGCCCATCAGGTTTCCGGATGACCTAATAAATTTGCATTTCCTTACCACTCGTGGCCTCGTATGTTCCTCCTTCAGTGACCCTAACCGTTTTCTCACATAATCGTTCCCAAACTGCGAAACAGTGTTCTCTCTCTTTGACGGGAAAGTTGGGTGGTTTGTCAAGGTCGCCCATATAGTGACTCAGCACTGTTCCCAGGCAGGCTGTCTCTAGAAGAGCCCCTTTCTCAAGCTCCTGCCAGCGTGACCACCATAGAAGAAGTTGGAAATGCAGAATCCTGGGCCCAAGCCCAGCCCGAGTTCTCAGTTCTGGAAGTACTAGTGCACGGCCCATGAATCCTCATTCTGTAATCCTCAGCTCTGTCTGATGTAGATCGTAGACCCGGCGTAAGAAAAAATGTGACTTGTTAAAAAGGAGGCAACAGGCGAAAACAGAGTCACTCGTGCTCAGCCCTGCATCAGCAAACCAAGACGTAATACCTCACTTAACTACAGTTCCAATCTTCCCCAGGAATTGACTTTAAAGTGGAGTATCTGGCCAGCACTGTCAGGTCATCCCCTTAGCAGAGCAGCCTTGCCTGAAGCAATGCATTTTTTGCTAATAGTTTCCGTTTTCCATCTCCTTTCCGACTTTATAAACTTTCTTTTTCTACAGCTCACTGAAGTTCCTTCCTACTTGCTAGATGGGATGCTGCCCAATTCATGAATCACCGAATAAAGCCAATTTGATCTATATTTTACTTGGTTGAATGTTTGTTATCGGATCCCCGGGGAAACCATGGAATGAGTCTTGCCTTCAGTCTCTACCTACCTACCTATCTCTATCTCTCTCCTGCTCTTTCTTATCTCTGAGGAAAAAGAAAAAAGAAACCTTGTGAAAGAAGCAGGAGCTGGAAACAGGGCAGATGCTGAGTACCTCTTGTCTAGAAGGAAGCAGAGATGTTGCCTGAGGGCAGAGCCAGAGATTAGAAAGAGAGAGGATTGGGAACTAAAGCCACCCTCCCTCCTAGGCAGCTCCCAGATCCGGCCAGGCCCACAGCTCCTGCGACCGTCAGAAGCAGGAGGGACGCCTCTGAGAGGAGGCCCTGAGTCTGCGAGTCGCGGTGGAGCCAGGCCAGCACATGCTGCTGTGGCATCCGAGTTCTCCAGCCTCCGCCTCCTCTGTGTGAGGACTGGTCCCGGCCTCTTGTGGCAACCGTCTCCCGTATGAACCTGAGAATATTGCCCACTAGGCACCGAGGTCAGCATCAGATTGACCAAAGCCCTCTGGCTGAGGGGTTTCATGCTTGACATGTGAGTTTAAGACGAAAAGCAGGGTCCTCAACCACTTCATTCGCCACAAGGAGCCCATGGAAGACTTGAGTCCACCCGGCCGCCCCTGCGCAGCTGGCCCTGCCCTGGCTGCCCACCTCCCTGCAGGCTACGTCATACCCGAGGCCTCCAGCATGCGAGGAAGAACACTGCCTGCGCCACGGTGACCCTCACTCACCTTGGAATTTGCTACCCACTTAGGGGCTAGAGGGATAAATACAAATTTAAAATGAGAGGTAACTTCTCCACATTGAAAATGCCTCTTCTCGGAGCATTTACTTCTAAATGTCTGTGTTCTTTCAAATGTCTGTCTCTTTGAAGTGTATGCAAATCTTGCTCAGAATCTAAATAAGCCTCTTGCAGCTTTATGACCCAGCATGTCTTTCTCAGGGACCTGGGAGCCCTTCTCGGACAGGTGTCCCGGGAGACCGCCTTCCTCCTGTCTCCGTGGGAGAACAGGAGCCTAGCTCCAGCTTGCAAAACTCCTTCCTCTCATGGGGATAAGAGCAGTTTCTCTCCTTCCCTATAAAGCCAGTGAGCTAGCTGTGGCGGCCCCAGGCCGGGTAACTGGGTGGTGAAGTGTGTGTGGCAGTGCTGCCGGCAGGCCTCTGTGCTGGGGACTGGCTGCTGCTTCGCTGGAGCCCAGGGCTGGTTCCTGGCCGGGTGTGAGGCAGGGAGCTGCGTCTGCCTTGGCCGTGTCCCAGACAGGGGCAGTCTGGGATAGCATCGCACTCTGCTCTAATGCTTCTGTGATAATAAAACTGTATTTTCTCTCTCCTGTCTTTGTGGAGAGATTTCCTGGGGAGGAAGATGTTGTTTTCCATTCTATTTTCCCAGTGGGGCAAACTAACCTCACCTCCATCTGCCAAACAAGGGTCCGTGCTGCCTGCCACTACTCGAGCCAATTAAGCAGAGGCAGGGCTGAATCATATGTGAGCGTTTAGTCCAATCCTGCCGGCAGTGTGGGAGAGCAGCAGGTCAGCCACAGACATCTGCTCTGCCCCCCACCATAAGCCAGCTGCTTGTATAGCAAAGGGGCAGTTTGCAGATATGCTGAAGGTTAGGGGTCTTCACAGGGCTTGGTGATATGCACAGGCTGGGGTTCCATGGGGAAATAGCCAAAGGGTTGCGCCAGAATCAACAGGTGAGCAGGTTGGAGGTTTGTAAGGTCTGCGGGTGTGCAAAAAGGGCTGGGATGTCAAAGGGCTGGCGATTCCAGTGTCTGTAACAAGTCTTTGTTCACCTTTCCATGATGACAGGCAGCTCCAAATGGGGAGGAAGGGCTGCGTCTCCAGGTCAGCTCCAGCCGGGGTGGAATGTGCCTTCTTTAATCAGAATAAAACAATCATGGTTAACAACATGGTTCCTATTTCTTACAATTCCAGCTGGTTCCCCAACGTTCTATATCTGCCCCATCGCATCTTCTCCAAGTGGAGTGGGGACCCCACACCTGGCCCCTGAGAGCCGGCGGCTGGGCTCCCGCACAGCTTCTCACCTCGGGCCAGGACTGAGGCTGGCGAGAGCTGTGCTGCCTCCCGCCTGCTCAGCGTGGAGGGAGGCCTTGCTGCCTGCTGGCCGTGGGACCAGCGTGGACGGCAGCCTCTCCCAGGAGCTAACGGGGGCCTTCAGCAGGCGGCACCGGTGGGTCGGGGAGGGGAGACATGAACCCACAAGCCAAGCATGCTGTATGTTCCCACAGCGCCAACACACTCAACATTTGGTAATTAAAATTATTTTGAGAAATAGAAGTAAATTAATAAGTAATTTGAAATATTATTTGTAATGAAAACAAATACACAGTTGGATTCAAAGTTTCACACTCGCTAACATGGGAGAAGGCAGATACATCTCACCGTCACCTTGGCATCTTAGGGACACCTCCCTCCCCTGCCCCCGCCCCTGCCGGAGGTGCCTTCATTGGCAAGTTTGCTGACAGGCCCAGACTTCAAAGCAGACAGGGCAGGGATTGTCCTCCCATGTTTATGGGTGAGGCTCAGAGAGGGTTAGGGATGAGCCTGGCATTTTCCATCGTGCGTGCCCTCGGGCACATGCTCACCCCTGGTGCTCCCATGCTGCCCTGCTCTGGGCTGAGGTCAAGCCCTGACAGGTGCCAGGCAGGCTTGCTCTGCAGCTCGCAGGAGGCCCGGAAGGAGGCCAGAAGGTAAGAGGAGACAGGGAGGGCACCCCACTCCTGCTCAGGAAACTCCCCTTCCTCATTGCTTCTCGGGGACGGTCAGTGCCCAGTGGCCGCCCCAGCACCCCCATGGCCCACCCTGCCCACCCCTGGGATGCAGCCCTCCCTGGCAACACAGGTGCAAGGCTTCCTGCCTGGCCCGGCACATACAGGGCGTCCGGCCCCACAACTGGAAACCACCCTCTCGCTGCCTTCCAGACCCGGCCTGCTCTCCCCCGGGCCCTTCGTGCCCAGGTGAGGGCCTTTGCTCTCCACTGTTCACGGCTAGCAGGGGGGAAGCCAGTGTGAACCATTCGCCTCTTCTTCCCGTGGACAAGAGGGGCCGCATGCTAACCTGGCGGCTCAGGGGAGGCCTGCGGGGCGGCCTTATAGACTGAGACCAAGTAACCACGCAGGACACCACCTACCTGAACGCGAGTCATGGCAGGAGTCCCATCCTCGGCCACTGTCTTCCCTGGCAAAGGTCAGTCTTTGCCTTGACTGAGCCTGTCTGCTTTTGGCGTCTATGAATGCATACCTCTGGAATGTCAGTTACCCCTTCGTCCAGACCCCGGGGGCACAGTCTCCCACCAGAGCAGATCACAGAGCCCCTCGCTGTGACCTGGTGCCTCCAACACCATCTCCAGGTGCTGAAGTTAATGGTGCGCTATCCTGTACCCACCAACATAACAGAAGTGCACGTCTGTCCTTTTCTTTTATCCAATCCCAGAGGTTTTCCCGCTTTGCTCTGTCCCCTAATCTGTCGCCAGTGGAGTTCCTGTACCCCTACGTCTCCCCCTGACTCTAGTGTGTAAATAAGCTGAGAGCCGCCATTCTCAGGCGCGTTTTCTCAACCTGTTGGGATTGTATTCTTGGCAATTGTCGTCAGTTTGGCTCAAATCAACTCATAAAAATTCTCTACAGGTTTGGATGTTTCTTTTATTTTTTTGCTAATCCTCACGGGGGTGCTCTCCATTGCTGTTTAGAGAGAGTGGAAGGCGGGGGGTGGGGGAGAACAGTGATGTGAGAGACACATCAATTGGCTGCCTCCTACATGTGCTCTGACAGGGGCCGGGGATTGAACCTGCAACCCAGGCATGTGCCCTTAACGGAACCGAATCCCTGACCCCCAGTGCGCATGCACTGAGCCACACGAGCCAGGGCTGTATGGTTCTCGTGTCCACATTCCTGTGGCTTATTCTTTGCTGTTTTATAGTGACTTTAGTTAGTGACATTGAACACATCGTGTACTTTGAATCCCATTTTAAAGATGTGAAAACTGAGACTCAAAGGTTGTGAGGGGCTTTGCCCAAGGCGCCCCCAACCCCCCATAAGGGATGTGGCCTGTTTTCTCCAGGCTGACATCTCTTCTGTTTACCCCCCTCCTGGGAGGGGCTGAATCTTCAAGGGGAGGAAGGCAGAACCCTCAGGTTTGTTTTGGAAGTTGCACTGTGTTTCAAAACAGGGGTTGCCTCACAGTATTTTGCTTGCAAAGAAGATGCCAGAATGTGCCTGCCTGGTTGAGAAACAGTGTGCAGCTTTCTCTGCAGGACGGAACAGGTTAGGAAACGCTGCCAGCCAGAGCGGGGGCCACAGTGGGGCCCGCTCAGGGAAGAGGCTGGGCGGGTGTCCTGGGAGATGGTGCTTTAGGCCAAGCCACTGCATGGCTGCTGGCCAGGGGCCCCTCATTTTGTGGGTTTAGCTCACAGGCTCCTCAAACACTGAGAAGAAAGTGACTGGCTCTCTTCTGGGAAGCGCTGAGCTCAGAGGACGCGTGAGCAGGCCCGTGACCGGGAGAGGAGGCGGCAGCTCGGCGCACTGTCTGGCCCCTGAGCCACTGCGTGTCCTCAGGCATTAGCCCCCTGGGCTCTCGCTTCCCCACGGGCACCCAACCGGCACAACTGCTCCTTCCATCTGAGGCACAGTGCCGCCAGGATCCTCGGATCAGATGGATCTATATGTTTAGGGGTTTGAGTTTGTTTTGTGTGTGTGTGTAGGGGGGGAGGGTAAATATCTTTATTGTTGACAGTATTATAGATGTCCCTGCCATTTATTTACCCATTGCTCCCCTCCACCCAGATCCCAGCCCAGCCCAGGCCTTCACCACCCTTTTGTCTGTGTCCATAGGTGATGCATATCTATATATATAAAAAGAGGTAATATGCAAATTGTCTGATACGCCCATAACCTCACGACCACTCAGGAGGAGGCTGTGCGTGCAGGTGGCTGGGAGGGGACTGAGTGCACGGTGAGGCAAGCCACGGCTTGAGCAGGCCCGGAGCGGAGACGGGCCTGCCAGCTGCCGTGCACCAGCAGTCCCTCCTCTGAGCATGAGCTGCAGAGGAAACACCTTTTCTGACAGCTCATTGGCTAAGCTCCTGGTATGCCACTCGCAGTGTTCTTGGTAACTTGGGTAATAAGAATCCAAGAAGTGATCTAGGGTTTTTCCATCTCACTTCTGGAGGAAAAAATGAAGGTCTGCTGCTGGAGGGGCTAAAAAAATGTCATATCCTGCCCTAGCTGGTTTGGCTCAATGGATAGAGCCTTGGCCTGCAGACCGCAGGGTCTGGGTTCAATTCTGATCAAGGGCATGTACCTAGGTTGCAGGATCCCAGCTGGCCGGGGCCCAGGTCAGGGCTCATGCAGGAGGCAACCAAAGTGTCCCTCTCACATTGATGTTTCTCTCTGTCTTTCCCTCTCTCTTCCATGCTCTCTAAAAATCAATGGAAACATATCCTCAGGTGAGGATAAAAGAAAAAGAAAGAAATGTCATATCCTATGAAAGAGACATCTGGAAAATGCCTAAAGAAAGTTGTCATTTTTTTTGTGGTGAAGGGACTGGAGTCTGTGTTGATGAAAACACCTTAATGGCTGTGGTGGCCGGCAATGGCAGCAGCAGTGGGGTGATGGGGTGGCACCTTCCCC